TACTCTAACTGCATCCGCATTGTCAACTTCTAAGAATGGTTGATTTAAAATAAAACTTTTCAGGTCACCGATTTTCACCGAACTATTTGTATGGTTCGGAAATAGCCGCTCACGCAATAAACATCTTTTTTTACTACTAACAGGTTTTTTCTGACACTTTTTTCCCGGTGTTTTTTGGATATTCCGCAAATTTCAACCCGGTTATCATACAAAACTCTTCCGGCCCATAAACCATTTTCGTATCACCTACTCTAAAATATAACCGTTTTATTCCATCTGGAGATAAAAACACCGTCCGACCGTATTGATGAAGAAACATTTTGTGGAACAGTAATCCGTCCCCTTGTAAACGAGGGACGTCCAACAAGTAACCAAATACTGTATCTCTAAATATATCACGTCTCACACCATCTAACACTTCAAATACTTCTCATATGTTACACCCCGATCCATTTAAGTTTACAATAGTTTTCACATCGAAGTTATTATAATTATGCTGCAAAAAACACAATAACATATTAGAAAACTAAACAACTATTTCATTTTTAAAATATATTATTAGAGATTAAATGCAATAATAACATAAACAATAATAACAATGCAAATACAAATATTTAATAAATAATTTATATATTTACGTTCAAAAACAATAACATACTATAACAATTTTTCAACTTAAACGGCAACTATATAAACAATTTTCCAAGTTATACGACAAATATACAAACAATTTTTTTCTTTCTAATTATATCAAATAACATTTTCTAACCATATAAACAAACAATTTTTCAACTAAAACGACAACTAAATTAACAATTTTTCAACTTATACGACAAATATAAAAACAATTTTTAAGTTTCAAAATATATAAAATAACATATTCTAACCAAACATATTGTAAACAACTAACCAAACATATTGTAAACATTATTCTAACAATTTATTTAACTATTAACTTAAAAAAATAAGCATATTCTAACCATTTTACTAAATGTACAACTACCCGATGCACACTCTACGCAGTCTGTATTTGTACATTCATACAACCACTAACAAAATAGCATTTAAACTTCAAGTTTAATAATAACAAATATTATAACTATCAAATACAACAAAATTACCCTATCACAAACAATATAATTTCTTTTTTTTACACTAACTAATACAATAAATAATAAAATAATAAAGACATATACTAAATAAATGTTAATTAAAACTTAAAAAGAGTTAAAATCTAACCATATTTTCGGGATTGTTGAAGTAATCGTCCATTTTCTTCAAAAATCGTCAAAAGGAATCCCCGAGAGAGAGAAAGAGTTTTTCTATATTGAAGAGTGAAAAATGAGGAAAAAAAATCCTTTTATAGAATTTCATCACGAAAATCGCAGATGAACAGTGTAAATCGCAGATGGACTTTTTCCGTCTGCGAATGTACAAGTACCTAAAGCACAGTTGTGCTTTAGGTACTTGTACATTCGCAGATGGAAAAGGGAAATCGCAGATGGACCATTGCCATCTGCGATTTTCGTGGCCATTTTTGCAATTTCGATTTTTTTTGGCTATTTTCCGCAAAGTGATTAGGTTAATTGGCTATTTTTGTCATTTTCTCTAAAAAGTAATTAATAAAAACAAAAAACTATAAAAGCAAACTGTGTAGGTGTAACGTCCGAAATTCGGGCGAGACAATTAATATATAAAAAGTAGTAATTATAATCCTTGATTAGGATAATCTATAGTCGTGCACGCTGTAGAGTATATAATATAAGTTTCGTAGTAAGAAATATAGGAAAAATCAACAGATTCGTCCGTAAATCGTAAAAATAAGTGCGCCGAAACATATATATATATATATATATATATATATATATATATATATATATATATATATATATATATATATATATAATATATATATCTATATATATCTATATATATATATATAATATATATAGAAAGTACACGTCGTCCCGATCCCGAAAATATAAATTTCGTAGAAATCCGACTCCGTATTAATTAGATATGATTTTTATAAAGATATAAAGGCAGTCGCGCACAATGAATGTGTGACGTTAAACTGTACCGAAGAGAATGGTTGATTTTTGGATAAAGTTGTCAAAATGAAGGTCGTAGTACTCTTTAAGATAGAAATTTTGATAAAAGGAACACCAAAACTGGAGTCCGTACGAGAGAGTTATGATTTTTACAAAACCATTAAATCATATAAAAATAAGGGCTAAAAATAAAGTCAGAATTAGCCGATTGAGTCTAAATGAAAATTGTAGTAGTCGTCGAGAGCTACGTGTGGAAAAAAACATCAAAAAACAGAGACTGTATGAAGAAGTTATGACATTTACAAAATCTGTGATTTGCACCCCGCGCAGTGCGCGCCGGGTGCACACCGCGCGCTTCTAGAAGGTGAAAACACGAACCACGTGAGCCTGACACGTGGCACAAAGTGGTTGGGGAGACGTAGCCTAAAAATGCGCGACGTGCACCCAAAATTTGGCTATAAATTGAGCTCCAGCCCCCATTTCATTCCTCACACTCTCCCATTTCATTTGTCTCGAGTCCCTTCAACTTTTAGCCCGTTTTCCCTTAGTTTGAGTCTGCGGTGAATCCCTGCGATCCCTAAAGTAGTAATAGCTAGCAAGTAGAAGCTCTGCTAGTGCAATTTCCAGACTTTTGTCTAAGAAATCTCTATAAGTTAAGCTACACTCGTATTACTTTTAGTGTAACTTATATTTATAGTCATAGTCGTTATTATGAACCAATAAATAAGATTTATTAGTAATTCCAAGTCATTATACTGACTGATCTACGTACGAGGATGATGTTTAAGCTGAATTTAGTGAGATGTTTAAAGTGTGATTTCCAAACAGTATACTATGTATACCAAACGGACTCTACCTCTGATATGATCTTACCTCGTTATCCCTTATTAGCTATAAATCAGTAGACTTTGGAATTAATGATGGATCTGGGCTATATTTATTTACAAGGAATATTAGCCTAAGACTTAATGTTAACTGAACCTAGGTCATGTCAAAGGGAAAACCAAGTGTTAAAGCGAAGTGATGTCTGAGTTTCGTGTCATCACTTTATTAAGTAAGTGCATAGTTACTTTTATCTTACACATAGATATGAAGTATCTAGATAATGATCTGCTTTATGTGCTTATTATTTGTGCCGAAAATGTTATGTGTTAGATAAAATAGTATGAGGTGACATTTAAATTGATTTAATCATAAAAGTATTATACACTTATAAAATATGTATTGGTAGTGATAGGGGATGGTAGATAAGGAGATGATAGATAGGTGATGGTAGATAAGTAATGATAAATAGGAGATGATTAGGAGATGCCCTGACCTTGACTTGCGATGTTGCGATGTAGTCATCTACCAGAGTATAGATGACGACCACTGACTAATTTAAACAAGTCATGTGGAAACACCGACAGGCTCATAACCTGTAGGTGATTAATTACGAGTTCAGGCGATGTAGTAACTACGTATTCATGCGATGATACTCTAACCCATACTTGACACGTATTGGGGGAGTAATCCCCGAAATAGTATTGTCTATACGATGATCCTTAGGAAAGGTCCTTAGCAATAAGCATATAAGGAAATGCGATGTAGGCGATGATAGGTAAACGCGTTGTAGGTGATGACCCTTAGGATAACCCCTTAGGGAATAATAAATAAGAAAATGAGGATGGGTAATTGGGATAATTGTTTGTTTGATGATTAAACACATTAACTATATTACTATGGGTTGATAACCCTATGCACTCATCAAGTTTCCCAACCTGACCCATTCACTTAATTTGTATCATAGGTATCGATGCGAAGATACATTATACTGAGAAATTAAAGGAGATTTAAATAATTAGTGTAAATTAATGTAAGGTCTCCGTTTATTCTTATGTTTCTGTATTGACAATGACATCGCGGGTTTTATAAATAAAACACATTTTTTTCGAAAATGTTTTGATAATATTATTATCATGTTTTTGGGAAATTCCGCATAATATTTTTTTTAAAAAGAATATTCTGATTTAATAAACATAAATAAATCGTCTTTTCTAACCATAAAAATTGGGACGTCACATTAAGAGACTAAAACATAACTTTAAAATATAGTAAGAGATTAAAAATGCAACTTATAAAACATTAATAATTTAATTTTAAAATTATAAGGAATGAAATTTTTTAGATCAAAATTACTTGAAGGCAAAAATTTTAATATAAAAACCTGCTACGACCATACAGAAAATGGTAATGTAAGTTTTTGATCTGAATATGAATCAAACCGAAAGACTCCTTAACCATTAAGGGGTTAATAGAACGAGTCAAACTTTTATCACTAAACTATATCGGTTACAGTGCAAATTATTATATATAAATTGATCTTTTATCGAAGAGCTTATGTGTATGTATAGATGGACTTCTTATACTTATATATCTCGTAATCTCCAAAACAATGTTTATTTTGCACTATGTACCGAATGTTTTAAAAGTTGTAATTTGATCTGTTTTCAATGATTTTAGTTTTGAAAATAAAAACCCAAATGAAGTTTATGTGTCTTACACCGACTTTAGAAATTAAGAGTTAAATAATTTTATTAGTGAATCATTATTTCCGATACTATGTTTTGTAATTTTGCTATTTTGAATCTTAATGTTGGTTAATCTAATGTATTTTAAAATTATTTTAATTAGAAGGTTAAAATAATAAAATATTCAAATACAAAAGATCCTAATGGTTCATGCATTTGCATTTTAATAGTTCTTTCAACCAAAAAGCCATTTACAGTGCTTCCATGCTAGTCCATTCCCGTTTTCATCATCACTGAACTTTCATATACTGAATTCCCCAACAAATGGTTTGAACAGTTGGTTTTTATGATATCTAGCTATCTGCAATAGTAAGAAACTGCAAAGTACATACACAATAACATATTCGAGCATGAAACAACCATAGATAGGCGTGAATACATTCGTATAAATTAACTTTACATATAAAGACATATATTAATACAAAAGCATCCGACAATCTGTTACAGTTACTACAATACATTGAACATTTTTAATTATCAACCACGACATATAGTTGTTATATTTAAAAATTATAACTTATGAACTCATAAACCAAAACGACACCAACTTTTCACGCATCATACATATGACATTATATATGTTTTTCATTAAAAAAAAAAGTTAAACTCAAGTTCTAATGCCGTTGGTGGCAGCATGGTGGTCGGAGTCGGAGGCGTTGATGTGTTTTTGAGCAACATGGAATTGTGAAGCATATCTGACCACAGGTGTTTCCGATGCAATAACAGGTGGTTCATTCAAAAACGCCCATCTGCTATTCATCCACCTGCATGTATATATGATCATACATATATTAATAACAATTTGTATTTAGAAAATGGATTATTCAGAATATAACAAAACCTGGAAATGAAGAATAAATTACCAGCCATGGCTCTTGAAAAGTTTTTCCTCGTCTTCTTCTTCCTCTTCTTCTGAAGTTTCTACAACGGAATATTCTTTTGTGATCGGAAGGGAATTTGATCTACTATATATATTTTCCATCTCCTTTTTCTGTTAGAAAACAACATTAATTAATTAGTTGATAAAGTATATTAAAAAGTGTTATAATATAACATTTATCTCTCACCAATATCATCGTTTATTTATATATTCACCTTATAATCTTCCTTCGAAAACGTCTGACAAGATGTAAGAACACCTGCATGTACTTGTTCGTCGTTCTTCTTTGATCTCCAATAATTTGCGATTTCTTCGTTGGTCATCGACATGTTCCTCTTTAGATTTACTGAAACAAATCAGAGGTGAGATTAAAGAACATGCATAAATCATCATACATATACGTACTAAAAGAAGTCATTTAACATCGCATATATGGATCAAAGGATTTAATATATTAACCAGTGATCTCCATAATTAAAATTCGACAAATTAACATGTACGATTTTGATGCATGAAATTCCACAATCGAGTTACTACTAAAACAATAAAAGAGAAAAGAAAAAACTTACTGGATTTAGGGTCTCGAACTCGTGAATCCCAACCTGCCATTAATGAACCCATTAATTAATTTCAATTCTTCTCAAAACTATTTCGAATTATTCTTGTGTTTTCACAAGCGCAATATTAAGTAGTGGCGGTGTAACTTTAATTATATGTATGCATATACATATATACTATGTGTTTTAAGGATATGGTTGAAATGTTGAAAACGATCATGACGGCGGATGTTAGTGGGTATGATATATATCTTTTTTTTATATTCTGGTCTTATCTTCAGGAATACAAAATATTTAATAAAATTTATATATAGTGTAACTCGAATATATAATAATATCCGAATCGACATGATCGATTATGTATTTAGAATCGTAACTTTCATTGCACAAAATATCTATTGCAGTACTGATCCAACTTCATAACATGGTTTATTACAAGAGATCAGGTCGATGAGCGAGTCAGTCAAGTAGTCAACTAACTAAGCTTACAGAATAATATAAATTACAATCGATTTTTGAAGGTATATAAATATTTTATAATATCTTTTATGAAAAGATGATTATTGAATATTTACATAGTTGAATATTATTTGTGATATTGATAGGCATCATCGAATTCTATGGGCTTACCTCACCCAGTTTCGCTCTGAAAAGATAAACCGGATATTTCTAGATCCCTCTGTCTTAACTTTATGTCAATTGTAAGAGTAATTTTTGTTTTATGCGTCTTTTATTTTAATATCCAATCTAATATGTTTAATATGTCGGTAATTTCAGTATGTAATAAGATTTATGTATATTTGAAAGGGGATTATATTTAGTTTTAATATAAAATTGAATGCGGAGAGTGTACACTTGTATAAATCTAAATCATCCCTATACAACCAAAAGAGCAAAGGTCAAAGGGGTTTTAATGTAATTAAGACTAAACTGGACAAATGGTCCCTGTGGTTAGCTCAAAATTGTCACTTTGGCCAAAAAGGTTTGGACTAGCACCACAGATCCAAACTTTTCATTTTGTTGCGATTTTGGTCCAATTTACTTTGAACTTTTTTCAAATGACGATTTTGTCCCTATTTTTTTTATTTTTCAGTTTGTTTTTATTATTTTTATTAATTCTTTTTCCATTTTCTTATTTATTTTTCAGATTTTCATATTTAAAAACAAAACTAAGAAAAAAAATTCACCATACTACTACACCACCCACTATCTCTTTGACATACATACTATGTATCTCTCTCACTCCACTGTGTCGCCGGAAATCATCGCCTCCAGACGGAAAACAGCACCACCTGCCGGAAAAAAAACGCCACCCACCATAAATCGCCGCCACCTGCCGGAAACCATCGCCACAACCACCACTCCCAGTGCCATCCTCTTTCTCTTTTTTCTGCTACTTCGATCACCTTCTCTATACAACCGTCAGAGCAGTCAAAATGCTCGTCGGAAAGTACGAGGGTTTCAAATCTATTGTCAGAAAACCCTAAATGGACGGTGGTGATGGTTCTATTTATAGATCTGGGCAACAGAGAATATGAAGGCCTCCCCTTCCCTCTCTCCCCCTCTGTCGTTCTTGACAACGCCATCGTCTTCGTCGTTTGGGAGGGGGGACAGCGTCGTCGCCTCCTGTAACTCGACTTCACTGGAAACCACTTTGGATTCCTCCTTAACCGCTACCCTCAGGTTCTGTTGTTGTCTCGAATTAGATCCATTCGTCTCTGGAGATGGTGGGGAGTTGGAGCTTACAAGAAGATGATCGTGTTGCAGATCGTTGGTGTTCCAGATCTCCGACGAAAAGATCTTCAAAAAAGATCGGCGAGAAGGGTTTTCTCAACGAAACTCCAACGAAATCAGAAAGAGTTGTTTCAACGTCGGGTAGGCAACGCCGGAGAAGGAGAGAGACGGTGGAGAGAAAGAGGGACAGAGTGGAGAGAGAACGGCAGTTGTGGTGGCGGTTTCCGCCTGGCGTTGGTGGTTTCGAACAGGTCGTGTTCCGGTGAGAAGAGGGAGGTCCGACGAGAAGGGTGATGGTCCGACGGTTCAGCCTTTGTCAGAGTTGGAGGTTCGGTGATGTGCAGGTTTAGAGTTTCAGTGTTCTTCATATGTAATGTAGAGAGAGAGAGAGAGAGAAGGAATGGGGTGGGGGATAAACACTCAATATTTTTTTCTTAGTTATTGTCATATAAAAATGGAAAAAGAAATTAATAAAAATAATAAAAAACTGAAAAATAAAAAAATAGGGGCAAAATCGTCATTTGAAAAAAGTTCAAAGCAAATTGGACCAAACTAACAACAAAAATGAAAAGTTTGGACCTATGGTGCTAGTCCAAACCTTTTTGGACCAAAGTGACAATTTTGAGCTAATCACAGGCACCATTTGTGCCGTTTAGTGTGTAATTAACTAATTATGTATGATTTTCAACAATGCATGATCGAAATACGAAGTGCACACTTAGTAATACAAAATTGCTTAGACGGATCTGAATAGAAATTATTGAATTTCTAGGGGTTCTAATATAATTGTATATGATTTTCAATCCTAAACCACCTTATCAAAATGCAATTATAAAATTCGAATTTTGAGAGATTAGAACTCTCTCTCTCTCTCCCTCAAACATACAAAATTTACACACACACACCATATACTCTATCGTTCTTGATCAATTTTCTATGCTTAGAATCTCATTTGAGGATTATCTAAATGTCGAATTTCTCGTAACCCAGATATAGGAGAAAAATATCGATTCGGAAAGTGAACCTACACGACCCTTGAAGAATCTAATGATTATCATATTCTATTTTTATCTTATTTTTCTAACATAATATGATAATAATATCTAAATATATTTCAACATCGTATTCTTACCAATAATTAAATGATTAACAACGATAATCAACAAATTACCATTAAGAAAGCAATGAAATGGAATGCAAAGATGCACGTGAAACAAAGATGATGAGTGTAAACCGCACAACATCCACATCATGTCTCTCTCTCTCAAAATTTATAAATTCTGATTTTATTTTTCATAAAATATAGCAATACTTAAAAAAAATTGGAAGGATCGAGAAAAAAAAAAAAGAAAAAAAAAACGAGAAGTAACTAAAACGAAAAACAAAACAATCACATTAAAGTGTTCAAGACGAGGTTTTGAAGCCAAACATTCGAAGTAATATGAAATTTCTACTTTGTATGCATCACCTAGGTATAAAGTAATAAATGAGAACAATATCATCAAAAATTATATATTTTCTAAAATAAAAATATTAATTTCTTTTATAGAAAAACTATATAACTAAAATAGCAAGTATTTGAGTTTTTATCATGATTCTAAATAATGTTAAGCGTGACTTGGCGGAAATATCAAACCTCAAGTTTTTACGAGTTGTGGCGAGTTACGTCATTTGTAAGGCGTGACTTATGGAGACAATTTTATATTATATATATCATGGGGGTCGTTAAGGGGGGCAAAGTGGGCGGGTGCACAGGGCCTAATTTTTTTCATTATATATCTTTATTTAAAAATACAAAGTTATAATAAAGATAATGACCACTTTTTTCTTATTCGTCTTGAGCCTTTAAGAATATTTAATTTTCAGGACCGGCCCTGATATATATATATATATATATATATAATATATATATATATATATATTATATCATATATACTAATATATATATATATAGTATATTATTCATTTTTATATATATATACGGTTTAAGACGATATTTTATTAAAATTTGGCGTCAAATACAGGTCTTAGAGTCATGGCGATAGACAGATATTTTAGAACATTAGCTTTTATGTTTACATATTATCATGTCATAAAAACTCAAAGATTCCAAAGTGTTCAAGATTAAAGATATTATTGTTTAAAGGGAACGTATTTTTTTTAATCAAAGGTTCAAATATTTCAAGTGTCAATACAAGCCAATCTTCAAGGAACATATTTTGTCTTTGCTCAAGACACTGCACTGTGTAGTGCAGTTTTTGCTAATGGCAAACCCACGTGGATATTATTGCCGTTGGTGACCGTCCCTTACTTCTTTTTTTTTGCCGAGGGCATATTGTTGCCATTTTCTCTCTCTATTTTTGCCGCTGGGAATAATAAATGAAGAGAATGAAGCAATGTGTTACAAACTTTTATTTTTATGCATTAGAAAAGTTAATAGTGGTAGGCAAAAACTTCTATCACACTCTAGTCATAAATAAATTGTGGCAAAGATGATAAAAGTTTACGTGACGCGTATATGACACACTTTTTTTACAAACAAAATTATCACCACACCGTTTAGCTTAAAAAGACGTCAGCATTTATGTTTTGTGCTAGACGCGAAGGTTATTGGAAGATCGAAGAGAAAGTTAATCCGAGTGCACATTAAAAATATTTTATTTATAAGTTTCCGTTGTTGGTAATTCTCCATTTTATATTTTAACGTTTGATCAAAGATGAGAGGAGGATTTAAATTGAAATTATAAGATGTTTTTATATATAAAAATGAACATATTTAATAATAAAAAAATAAAAAATCATAAGATATAAAATGAAGATGTTTTACACTGTAAAAATGATTTTAATTCGTTTCTCTAGAGGGTTTTCTTAAAAAAAAAATATGAATCTTTATAAATTATACATCACATAACAATTTATTGGAATTAAAGCTATGTTTGGTACAATAGCTGAAAAACTAACTGATAACTGAAAAGTTAGCTGCTAGTTTATAAGCTAGCTGACAAAAAATAACGTTTGGTAAAACTAACTGATAAGCTAGCTGAAAGATATAAAATGACATAAAAAGACATTTAGAAGAATACGTTTTTTGTAATTAATTAAGGGTATATTTGAGAAAATTTTAAAAATCTCCTAAAAAACTACTCAAAGTAGCTTTTTAAAAAGCTAGCTTATCAACTACTTTTTGGCATGCCAAACATGACAATTTAAAAAAAAACTCGAAAAATAAGCTAGTTATAGCGTGTCAAACACAGCCTAAAAGTAGGAAGCTCAGTGATTCGGGCGAAACTCGGTCAGTATATAATCCCCTAGTTGTAATTAGAGGATCACAAATATAAAAATAAATAAATAAACAATAGCTAATCTACTGGTTTTCAAGGGATTTGGATTTAAAAAATAAATAAATAAAATCGGTATGGATATGTCTTATCCGTCAAATAAGGGATTGAGTATTAAAA